TTTCCAAGAGTATAGTGTACTAGGGGGGAGGGTTGGGAGGGGAGAAAAGTGCAACAATGAATGAATGGAAATCCAAAGTCTCTGTAAATTTTTACTGAAATGAATAATAAATTTAAATTAAAAGAGTAATGATGAATGGCGCCACTTTCATTTCTACCCTTGAGTCCTGTCTACATGAATCCTAGTTATTGGAGAAACAGCTGCACAAATTAGACACTGGCTAAGAGCATATACAACCTCCTGTAGAGTATTTATCTAAGTATACAAGGTATTGGTATAATAATGAGTGCTACAATTATGTCTTTAGACAGCTATCCTACCGTTCTGTCAAGTCATCTGCTCCAGGGTGATGAGGAATATGGTACAACTAGTGACTTCTATGAGAATGGTTCCATTGTCACACTTCATCCTCTGTGAAATGAATCCCTTGATCAAAGGCAATGCTGTGTAGGATACCAGGTCGGTGGCAAAAGCATTCTGTAAGCCATAGTCTTGGCAGACTATGTGTAGGGAAGACAAATCTGTACCTGAAATAAGTGTCCATTTCAGTAAGAACAAATGCTGCCCAGTGGATCACTTTTCTTTAATACTTAATATATTAATATTTTGAGTATTAATATTGTCAACTCAGACCATGGATTTAGAGAACACTCTTTACTAATGGAGTGAAGACTAGATCACTAAGACTAATCAGACTTGAGAATCAGTTTAGAAAATACATCTTTAGAATTTTATTTCTCCAGAGCCAAATGTCTGAGACTGTGTTCTTCGTTCTCCAGAAAAGCAAAACATATATATGCAAGTGTATGTGTGTGGGTATAGTACACAGGAAGAGAGATTTAGCAAAGGAAATCACTCATGCATTTGAACAGACTTTTATAAGTCCCAGGTTTGTGGCATATAGTGTGGAGTCTGATGAATCAAAGGTAAGGCCGTTATTAGCCAGATCAGTGACTGAGATCCAACAAAATGCAAGCCAGCTTCTCAGACTTCCTTAATGCATTAGATTCAGGCCACATCCCCACTGAAACTCCTCCTCAATTGATTGAGTGCTTGTAGCAAATCCCATCTAGGGAATGATTACATTACATCAAACCTTATCAAAGGAATGGCCATACCACAACTGCCAAGCCAGAGAATCACAGACAGCCAAGCTGACACACAAACATAACCACCATAGACGGGAGAACTCCGAATCTCAGACACAATGGCAAAGGATAGGAAATTCCATTTTACGGGTAACTGCACTTGTGTATGAAATGCACATTCAGTGCTCTGTAAATTTGTCTGAACACTGGCCTGAATGGAGGCCCGAGAGCCTACTCTGTTTTTCTAAGTACTCATGCAAGTCTTGCCATACACTGTTTATTTTGTTGTTCGAAATATGCACAGCAAAATGTACACCAGTTCAACTGTTTCTACATGCACAGCTCAGTGACATTGCTTGCCTCCCAGTTTGGCTCTCCTTTTTTTGGGTTGTCCATCCCCAGTGAACATGAACTCACTACCCCTCCAAGGTTTCTGTCTAATATTTTCAAGTTGTTTGCCACACACTGAATCATATTCCAGGTTCAACTAAATTTTTATTTGAAATTTTTACTGAATTAAGGTAATAGAAAAATAATGGGGGAAAAACCCCACACCAGGTTTGAAGGGTTATTTTGAGTTGTTGGAAATTAGAATACAACTGTCAGAGGGAGTTGAACTGATTTAAGGGAACCAGTACTATCATAAAACATGAAATAACAAAATAATAAAACACATCATTTGTAAGTGAATTCTTTTTTTCCCCCCTCCTTCCAAAAAACCCTTGCTGGATAGATCAGTTATAAAAGGTGTATGAGAAATTGGTCACAGGGGTTTCCTTTGAAAATTAGAAGATTGAACAGGGCCAGCAATTTGTGGCCCATAGGCCAAATTTAGCCCATTGTCCGTTTTCATAAATAAGGTTTTATTGGAACGCAGTCATGCTTATTCATTTATGTAGTGTGTGTGGCTCTTTGTGTGCTTCAATAGCACATGTGAATAGTTGGGCAGACCATATGGCCTGTGAAAACCAAAATATTTCCTCTATTAAGTCCTTTACAAAAAATTTTTGTTGACTCCTGGGCTAGAGGAAAAAGATAGAAGGAAAACTTATTTTCTCTTTATGTCTTTCAAATTCCAAATGATTTGATTAAAAAGGATCAGGGCAGACTCCTGTGGCTTCATCAAACATTCCATGTTTCATCTCCTCCTCACTGGGTGACTAACATTATTTACACGGGTCATTGACAATTAGCATGAGCTATTCCTGCCGCAGTATTAGCCTTGCTCCCCGGATGAGACTTCAGCACTAATTCTATTGTGTTTCCTGGTAACCCAGAAGTAGCAAATTCTCCAGTTAATCATTAATGTAATCTCTGACTTTCATGAAACAGCAAGCGGCTGGCTGAGCTGGAAAAGTGGGAATCTGCTGATTTTGTTTCCCTATGCTTATGACAAGATCTTTCTGAGGAGCCCAGGGGTTAAGGAGCTTGGCTGCTAACCAAAGGATTGGTGACCTGAGCCCACCAGTCCTCCACAGGAGAAAGAGATGGCCATCTGCTTCTATAGAAACCCTGCTTCTATGGAAACCCTGTGGGGTAGTTCTGCTCTTTTTTTTCCTTTCTTTTCTTTTTTAAATTGGCTGGCATACAGAATTCATATGCATTGTGTTTCATTCATGTTCATTGTGTTTCACACATTCCCTCATTCACATTGTGTTTCATATGATCATCTATCTATCTATCTTGTGTTTTATAAAATTAATCACCATTGATCTGTGCCTACTATTACCCTGTCTTGTCAGGTCCTCATTGAATCTTTCCTAATTCTTTCACCCCCCTCCTCTGTCCACTGAACTCTGTTATCCTAGTGACTTCCACCCCCGCCAAACTGTGTCACCCCTGCCTCCTTCCCCTTCCCCTTTTATACATTTAAGCACTCTTACTAGTTTTCTATTTTTTACAATAATGATCTTATGTAGTATTTGTCATGAGATTGAGTAGGATTGCTGTGGGTTGTAATCAGCTTGATGACCATGGGTTTATTTTTTGTTTTTTCCAATCTTCAGATAAGATGGATTTGAGTTATTGTGTTTCTCTTGTGGTTTTACATTCATCTAACACATAGCTATGAGAGCCATGTCCACTATTTTGAGAAGCAGAGAGAAAAGAAAAGAAACTGGGAGAAATATATCAGTACATTGTTGTCATGGAATATTGAGCTCTAGTGGCCTAGTGGCAAAAAACTGTGCTGCAATCCCAAAAGCTGCAGTTTGAGGCCACCAGCTGCTCGGTGGTCTCCCCTCTTGCGATTAACTGCCTCTGAAAACCCATTGGAAGAAGGTCAGTTGTGTGTCATTTCCAATCTGACGTTAAACAACAACAACAGCAACAGTCTATAGAATAGGGAGCTCTGGTGGCCTAGTGGTAAGAACCTGTACTGCAATATTGAAGGGGTGTAGTTCAAATCCACCAGCTTCTCCATGGGAGAAGGATGGGCAGTCTCCTCCTGTGTGATTAACTGCCTCTGAAAACCCACCAGAGGGTCATCTATGGTTCGGTTCTAACTCAACAGTACTCAACCACAACAGTCCATAGCACAAGGAAGCTGGTAGCCTGGTGGTAAGAAGCTGCACTGCAATCCTAAAGGCACGTGGTTGGAACTCACCAGCTGCTCCGTGGGAAAAAGATGGGCAGTCTTCTCCTGTGTGATTTACTGCTTCTGAAAACTTGCTGGAGGGTCAGCTATAGTTGGTTCTGACTTGACAGTACACAACAACAACAATCCATAGCACGGGAGGAGAAATTTGTAGGAGGCCAGTCTAGGATATTGAACACATTGTGGATTGATTGTATTTTTTTTTAAAGTTTTACTTGTGCAAGTCAGAATCTGGTACCAATTAAATGGTGACAGCTTTGCCAATAAATAAGAACATACTCCTCCATGGCTAGGAAGGGAGACTGCCATGGCTGACAGGTTCCAAAGATACATGGACTGATTGTATTTTTTGTGTATTGTCTCACACGTTTCAACAGATAAGAATGAATGTCAGTTTGGAGCCACTGTGGTCTGTGGGAACCACACTTCTTGTCACAACACACTGGGAGGCTTCTACTGCATTTGCCTGGAAGGATACCGAGCCACGAACAACGACAAGACCTTCATTCCCAATGATGGCACCTTTTGTACAGGTACTCAGGAGCTGTATGGGAACATGATGATTGGAGGACAATGTGAAGCGTGGGGAGGAGGGAGAGAGCAGAGCACAGATGGGATGATGATTTAAGGGAAGGCTCTTTTCAGAATAAGCATAAGGCAAATTTGGATATGAACTAAGAATTAGTTCATCAGATGAGATAATTTTATAATATAGAGGATAAAAGTCTTATTTTGCAACATGTTTGCTGAAGTATTTGGGACTTTTGTTATGAGGTATCAAGTGTCCTTATGTTTGTATGGTACATCAAAATGTTTCAACTATACATATACATATACATATACATATACATATACATATACATATACATATACATATACATATACACCTATACCTATATGCCTATACCTATATCTGCATACATACATATACATACACATACACATATATATGTACAATCTATCAGAGAGCTGGACAATGACTAGGGATGATAGAAGGAGAGTTGATGCCTCTGAACTGTGGTGCTGGAAAAGAGTATTGAATATACCATTGACTGCTAGGAGAATAAAGAAATTCGACATGGACAGGGTGAAGCCAGGCTGCTCCTTGGAGGCAAGGATTCTGAAGCTCCATCTGACACACTTTGGACATGTTACAAGGCATGGTCTGTCCTTGGAGAGGGATGTCATATTTGGGAGGGTGGAGGGATAGTACAGGAGAGGAAGACCCTCAATGAGATGGATTGATTCCATCACTCGGGTAATGGGGATAGGTGTGTTGGAGTCAAAAGATTGGCAAGGGATAGAGCAGGGTTTAGGGCTGTTGTACATAGGGTCTCTACTCAATGGCACATAACAACACCACCACAACACACACACACACACACACATAGACAAATATGGCAGAAAGTAGACAAATGGTGAATCTTGGAACATGAGTATATGAGAGTTCATTGTAGTGTTCTTTATCCAGGTCTGTATGCTTGAAGATTTTTATAATGGACAATGAGGGATGGCAGGCTCCAGTAGCCCCAGGTGGAGATTTGTTGGGGTGACTCTGGCACTCATCAGCTCTGTGCACCAGTGTAGTTCATAGCCCACAGGCTCCAGGTAGTGGTTACTATAAAGTTGACTCATAACAAGTAGGAGTGCTATGCCTATCATAGTTTCAGCTGCTTTTTATAGAAGGAAGCTGAGCAAACCATAGTTTCTGTGGTCCCGGACCACAGTCGCTCTGTAGGTCAAGATTTCTGGTCTGTGTTGGCAGATATCATGATAGAGGAGAAAATAGAGCCATTTGCTGTTGAGTGGTTTCAGACTCATGTCAATCCCATGCATGTCAGAGTAGAACTGTTTCTGTGCAGTTTTCAGTGACTGCTCTTTTAGAAGTAAGTTGCCAGACCTTTATTTCAATATGCCCCTGGGGTCAGATGGATCTTGGCTGAAAGCAGAGAATAGCAGAAGGTTGTCTATTTGTGTTTTATTGACTATGGAAAAGCATTTAACTGTGTGGATCATAACAAAGTATGGCTAACACTGAGAAGAATGGAAATCCCAGAACACTTAATTGTGCTCATGTGAAACCCATACATAGACCAAGAGACTGTTGTGTGAATAGAACAAGGAAATACTGTGGTTTAAAATCAGGAAAGGTGTGCATCAGGGCTATACCTTTTCTCCATACCTTTTTAATCTGTATGCTGGCAAATCATTTGAGAAGCTGAACTCTGTGAAGAAGAATGTGGGGTTAGGATTGAAGGAAGACTTATCAATATCCTGTGTTATGAAGATGACATAATTTTGCTTGCTGAAAGTGAAGAGGACTTTGAAGTGCTTGCTAGAGAAGATTAAAGATTACAGCCTTTGATATGAATTGCATCTCAACATCAAGAAGACAATAATACTCACTACTGGACTGATAAGCAATATCACAATGTTGTTGTTGTTATGTGCCATTGAGTCATGATAGAGGAGAAAAGATTGATGTTGTCAATGACTTCATTAGTTTGAATTCATCAGCAATACACTTGGTACCAGGAGTCAGGAGATACTGTACTGGGAAAGTCTGTAGTCAGGGACCTCTATAAATTACTGAAAATCAATGATGTTAGTTTAAAGACTAAGGTATACCTGATTCAAGCCATCATCTTTTTAGTCACTTGCTATGCATCTTGAGTGCTGGACAGTGAATAAAGATGACAGAAGAAGAACTGATGCTTTTGTGATATGATATTAGAGAATACTATAAATATCCCATGGACTGCCAAAAGAACAGATAGGTCCTGGAGAAAGTGTAGCTAGAATACTTCTTGGAAAGAGATGACAAAGCTTCCTCTCATATACTTTGGACACATTAGTAGGAGAGGCTACTCCTTTGAGAGGGACATCATGCTTGGAAAGGTGGAGGATCAATGAAAGAGATGAATTGGCACAGTGACTGTAGCAATGGGCTCAAGAGTGTCAGAGATGATGAGAATGGCACAAGATAGGACAGGTTTGCTATTGTTCATAGGAGTCATTATGAGTTGTAGTTGATGGCACCTAACAACAACTACAACTGAGTAGATTAAAACTTTTGACACTTTGGTTAACCACTGAGCATGCTGTTTATACCACACAGGAACTCTGGCCATCATAGGAGCCAGGTAAATCACCCCTAATTTTCAGTGTCTTTACCAGAAGGAATTGGCTGACACAGAAGAATTTAATGAACTAACATATGAGCAAGAGCCTGTAGTGATGAAGGAGGAAGTTCAAGTAGCTCTGAAAGAATTGGCAAAGAAAAAAAAGGATCCAGGAGCTGACGGCATACCAATTGACATATTTCAACAAACAGATGCGGCCCTGGATGTGCTCACTAAGTTGTGCCAGCCAGGACAGCCAGCTGACCAACTGACTGGAAGAGATTGATATTTATTCCCATTCCAAAGAAAGGTGACCCAACAGAGTGCGGGAATTATTGAACAGTATCAATAAAATCACATGCAAGCAAGATTCTGCTGAACATTATCCAAAAACGACTGGAGCAACAAGTCAACGGAGAACTGCCAGATGTGCAGGGTGGGTTTAGAAGAGGTTGTGGTACTAGGGATGTTATAGACTAATGTTAGATGGATCTTGACAGAAAACAGAAAGTACAGGAGGAATGTCTGTTTGTGCTTCATTGACTATGTAAAGGCTTTTGACTGTGTGGATCGCAACAAGCTGTGGTTGACTCTGAGAAGAATCCCAGAACATTTGATTGTGCTTATGTGAAATGTATACTTGGACCAAGAGTCAGGTGTCAGAACAGAGCAAGGAGACATTGCATGGTTCAAAATCAGGAAGGGGTCCACCAGGAATGTATTCTGTCTCCATACCTTTTCAATCTGTATGCTGTATAGATCATCCGGTACTCTGGGCTGTACGAGGAGGAATGTGGCACCAAGATTGGAGGAAGATCCGTCAATAATCTGTGTTATTCAGATGACACAACCCTGCTTGCTGAAACTGAGGAGGACCTGAAGTGTTGGCTGCAGAAGGTCAAGAACTGCAGCCTTCAATAGAGATTGAAGCTCAACATCAAGAAAACAAAGATTCTCACCACTGGGCCAATTGGCAGCATCATGACAGATGGTGAAGACATTGAGATCGTTAACATTTTTAGTTTGCTTGGCTCCACAGTCAACACTTGGTACCAGCAGCCGAGAAAACAAGAGAGAATTGCATTGGGAAATTCAGCTGTCAGGGACCTCTCCAGAGTACTGAAGAGCAACGACTCCAGGCTGGAGACTAAGGTGCACCTGATCTGGACTATAGTCTGCAATTGCGTGCTATGCATCGGAGAGCTGGACAGTGACTAGGGATGATAAAAAGAGAATTGATGCCTTTGAGCTGTGGTGCTGGAGAAGAGTGTTGAATATACCATGGACTGCTAGGAGAACATACAGATTTGTCCTGGAAAAGGTGAAGCCGGGCTGCTCTTTGGAGTCAAGGATTCTGAAGCTTCGTCTGATACTTTGGGCATGTTACAAGGAGGGACTGGTCCTTGGAGAGGGAAATCATGTTTTGGATAGTGGAGGGACAGTGACTGGGGTAATGAGAGTAAGTGTGTCAGAGACAGTGAGGTTGACACATGATGGAGCAGGGTTTAGGGCTCTTATAGGGTTGCTGTAAGTCACAAGTGACTCCATGACACATAACAACACCACCACCAACATCATGATAAAAGGAGTCTTGGTTGTGTAGCTTTGAAGCACTCAGCTGCTAACTTAAACGTTGGTGGTTTGAATCCACCAGTACCTGCACAGGAAGACAATTTACCAATGTGCTTCTGTAAAGATTTACAGCCTTGGAAACCCTTTGAGGATGTTCTGCTCTGCCAAATAGTATTGCTCTGAGTCAGAATCAGCTCAGTGGCAATGACTGTGTAAATCCCAGACAAAAAGCCCTGACAGCATGAGATGGGCAATTTTCTCCTGTGCAATTGTTGCTGTTGTTGACTGCTGTTGAGTCAAACATGACTCATAACGTCCCTGTGAACAAAAGGCCTGAATCCTTTCTGTAACTATTGTCATTTATTAAAGTTCATAGTTTCCAGAGGCACGTTGTTTAGGAAATGGATGCCACTCCTGCTTCCAGCCTACAATTACTGCCTCTGAAAACCTGCCAGAGGGTAGCTACAGGTGGGTTCCGACTAGATGGTATAGACCAACAACAAGAAGAAGCATGGTGGTTAAGCTTGCAGGCCCTAACTGGAAGATTGGGGACTCAAACTCATCAGGTGTTGTTCAGGATAAAGTCATGGCAATCTGCTTCTGGAAAGAGTAACAACCTTGGAAATGTTATCGCACAGCTCTGCTTTCTTCTCTAGGGTCCTTGTGAGTTGAAATCAACTCAACAGCAGTGGGTTTGTTAGTGGGCCATGAAAATAATGTTATTTGGTTAGGCCTTGAACACTAATGAGCGAAAACCAGATGAGTTGTGGGAGGATGTCAAAGGTGTCATCCAA